TATTTCACTAATGCTAGTAAATGCCAAGGTCAAGCAGTTTCCATCTTAGACAGAGGAAACAAAGGCCATTCAGTACATTATTGTGCTGCTGAATTATAGATTTGATGTGGTTTATTGTAAAACCTGTGACTTTTCATTTTCTCTTTGTTCACACATGGCTTCTCAATCCTATGAATTTTAAATATCTATCTGTCCAAGACTTGTTGTGGCTGGAATTGTAATATCCTAATAAAATTTTAACTTGTCTCTGATTTCCTATTCCATTGAATAGTTTAAATGTATTCATCCCCAGTTCTTTTATTCATTCATGTACCCCTCTCTTGTTTCACTGGCATACAGATCGGAGGCTGAGTGGTTTAAATAGTAATAATCATCTCATTCCTGCTACTGCATGAGAGCTGTCTTTGTTTGTGGCTCAAACCAGACGAAATATGAGCGCATGTGTGTGCATGCGTATCTAGCAATCTGGGTGAGTATACATGCATGCTTTAGCATGCATACATCTCCATGGACGAGTGAAGGCAGGCAGATGGCATGTTGACGCTACGCCTACACGTGCTCTGCCCTATGCAAGCTTTTCAATGACCCTTCACCTCCATCTGACTCCCATTCTTTGGATTCCTCATGTTGCTCTGAAAGGACTGACCAAACTGTAAAGGACCATGACATGCCCGCTAACTCTGGTAAAATGGAAAAATCTACTCAAATAGCCTAATTAAAACAGATCTGAATTCTCAGAGAAATCATCTCAGGATGCAATAAGGCTGTAATAAATATGTAAATTATATGATGTAATAAAAAAAAGATAAAATTGAAGAACAGATAAAATGGTTGATTAGTTACCTTCATTTCAAAATTGAGTCTGTCTTTTTTCCAGGGCATATTCCTTCCATTAAGAAATGAAAGCTAATAGTGACATTGGATTAAACACATGAATTACAATGATAACTGCAGCATTAGGCAGGTGATACAGTTTTTGCTTGGAGTTGGGGTCTTAAACAGATATTTAGAATGAGAATGACTTCAAACTCTGTCCTGGAAAGCTGTGCCTGATAATAACCCAACAGTCTTCTTTTAATTTCTTAAACACCATTGTGATTTAAATCAGACAAGTAGCTTAATATTCTGACACAGGAAAGTAAAAGTCCCTTAACTTAGAATTATTCATAATAAGATTTCAGAGTCATAAAAAAACATGGGAAATATATGTCACTCTTACTTTGAAAGATTTCTTATTGAAGTCAGACTGAGTAAATAGGTTTTGTTTTTGATTAACAAGCTGTTTGTACACAAATTTGGTACAAAATTCAGATAAAAAAAAAAAACATGGGAAATAAAATGGAAACATTTATTGCTGAATTTTTTTGTAGATTTTAATTTTGTTAAAAAATAAACAAACAAAAAAAAACCTCCCAGAAGTCTGTAGAAGTTCTTTTAAATCAAAGTTAAAAACTATTGTTTACAGCTGCCTTTGACTGTTTAACTGTTAATTTAGGTACTTTAGTTGCGGTTTGTGGTCCAATTGTTTGCTACCTGCCTTACCACCTGCTTTTATTATGTCTTTATGTTTATTTGCTTTCATTCTACTCTTATTTTGTGTTTATTTTACTGTTTCATTTATATAAACCTTTTTGAACTGTTTATGTACTGAACTGTGCGATACAGATAAACTTACCTTGCCTTACCAGATGATTAGCTGTAAGAGGCCACATAATAATCATTTTAATATATTGCTTTATCAGTTTATCACTCAGAAAATCAACAACCATGTGGTACTTAATCTATTCTACCCCTGTCTATTCCACTTTTTTATGATAACACCTAATGTACATACAGCCTCACTGTGCCACTATTGTAACTGTCCCGCTATGAAGCACATCATGGCTGAATAGTTGACACTAAACAAACAAAGTGACAGTTTTTCACGCAACTATTTTGGAATTAGTGTCATTTAAGTCACACCATGAAGCATTTTAGTTTGAAATCTTGGCTCTAAGCTGTGATAATGTTGTTGAACTCGTATTTGGTTCCCTTTCGTAACAAGTTAAGAGAGTGTGCTAGTTGTTGTGGCGCTAACTCCAAATAGAAATATAAGCTAAATGAGGTCTTCATGTACAAATTCTTGTATAAATCAAAACATCAAAGAAGCAATGTATAAATAAAACATTTATGATTTTTTGTGTCTGGTACAAATAAAAAAAAAAAAAAAAAAAAACAGGTCATTGACCTGACCTGCAGACCTTTTTTGTTATTTCAACTTAGAGGCACAATTTAAAACATGCTTTGGACTAAAATAAAGAGGTTAATCATATTTAAACTTTAATGTATTGATAATTAGAGTTTAACCTAAAAACATACATTTCTCAAATGTAATGGGGAAAAAACATTCTAGGATTGTGTAAGCAATGGTGGTTTGTGATGTTTTTGCTTATGAATCTGTTTCAGATTAAAGTATTTTTCTAAAGTTCCTTTAAATTGAAAGTTCAAACAAATTATGAGAAGTTATAACAATAATAAATTTAAAACCATTTTGACCCCCCCCCCCCAAAAAAAAACAACAACTATATTGAATTGCTAAAATACCTCTGCTTATGTGTCTCTGTACTGTTTCCCCATTAATTCATAAATGTTCCATCCGATTAGAGCAGTACAGCCAGTACCTGACAAACCAGACTGCAGTTTTCATGTTTTTGTGCTTCTACAGGCAACAGAAAAGGGCGGCTGTTCTCTCTCCAACTGGGGGAGGCAGCAATTAGAGCAATGTGAAGGAGAACAAATAGAGACTTCACAGCAGGAGAGACTTAATTAATAGCTGATCTAGATATGGCTGCACACCTCTGCGTTACAAAGTATTTAACTACTGACAAGGGAATCATTAAATGTATCTTGATGGATATCTGTGCATTTGCCCTGCTCTTGCCCTGCTCTTGTCCTGATCTTTGTAAGTTAGATGTTAGACTTTCCAGACTCAAGACTCCTCTTTGTCCTACATGTGATTTTTTTTTTGGGGGGGTGGGGGTTACCTTGGATTCCTTTCTCTGCACTTAGGATACCTTTTTTTTTCGATAAACTTTATTACTTTTGTGCTGTTGAGTCATACTGTATATGTTCATGAAATCTTGCTCTTAACATAACCTAGTTTTTTTTATTAAATCTCCTTTTCTCAGCAAAAGCAGCAGTGTTACTTGTTCTTTATGTTTTTGGCTGAGAATTACTGCATGAGAGGAGCAGGTGGTGAAAGGTTTAGAGTAATAAATCCACAAGGAGTGAACTAAACAGTTTTTATGTTATATTAATTAGGAGCCACTTTCATAATTGGATTAGGACAGTGACCTCAAAAGACCCCACATAAAGTCGCTTTATGCTATAAATAAACGCCCTGCGACCTGGAGCTCCCCAAAGTTAGCAGTGAAGAATAGCTTCTCTTCCCTGTCTGGCCAGCAGCCCCCCCTTCGTGACCGAAGAGTCAACCTTTTGAGACTTTAACTGCTGATGTGGCTTTGGTTTGGCTGAGCATAGGTAGAGTAACTAGGAAATCAGCCAGAGAAAGCAGTATTCAAAGAGGAGCTGAATGAAAGTTTCAAATCGGCCAAAGTTTCCTCCTGAATAGGGAGGATATTGTTTGAACAGAAAAGGTAAAAGAGAAGGACGTGGTGTTCTGTTTACTTTTGCAGAGATTCTGTTCTGTTCTGGTCTGGAAATTCAAAAGTGTAAAAGTTTTTGCTAAGCACATAATAAGTTATTTGCTTCTTTCCAAACTCACCTGCAAAACAGGCTTAAATCGAAGGCAACCGGACTTTCAAACTGTTTTTTGAAGACGTTTTGACACATATCCAGAAATCTTTGTCAGTTCTGTTGGCTTGCACCTAAAGCTGGAACACTGATCTTTTTAAGCAGCATCAATCAATGTCAGGGCTGTGAGCCAACAGAATTGACAAAGATTCCTAAATGGGTGTCGAAATGTCTTCAGAAAAACTGACCTAAATTCCAGCTGCCTCAGATTTTGGCCTGTTTTGTGGTTGCCATGGCCTGAATGACTTAGAATTTGCACAATCTAACACCTGGACAGGTTTTTGACAATTAGGTCATAGTAGTGTTAACTTCTCAAGTTTATGTTGGTGATGGGAGGGCAAAAAGGTAATGATTCCTTGAATTTAGAGACTTATTTTTTTTTTATTATTACTGTTTTCTTAGTTTTTGCTGTATTTCCCTGTATTTCCTCTGCTCTCACTAAATACTATCCACTGCATGGTCCTTGATGTATGTTCTGCTTGTGTCTTAATAGTGGTTTTCTCAATGTTTATACATGGTGTGCACAGGTGGGTTGGGTAGCCAAAACTTTTACTTCAATAAAAGTAGCACGACTTTTATTTTATTTATTAGTAAAAAAAAAAAAGTATTTAGTAAATAGGCTACTCTGATCCACTTACTTCCCAACATAAAAACAAACATTTAATATTTTTTTAGCTACAAAATTTACAAAATCAAAAGTTACACTCTGTAGAATAGATTAAATTACAATATACTGTTTACTGTATTTAACCAATAACCATTAACTACAAAAAAGATGAGTGTGCCTCTCATTGGTGCAAATTTGTGTAAAACATGCTTGTTTTCATCAAGTGAAATTACTCACTATGAAAGAAGTAAACAGAAACTTGAATCAAGTCAGAGTAGAGATATGTCATTGTATATTATATTATTTACTCCGAAAAGTAATTTTTTCCCCACTAAAGTTACTAAAGTAAATGTAACTAAGCAAAGGTAACAAGTTACTAGCCACATGGCCACATGGGATGTTGTGCCATTGTCACATCCACCTGTCGCAATGGCATTTTACTAAAAATACATTAATTACATATGATCTTATCTTTTTCTTACAACATCTCAGTGCAGGATTATTCTACAGGGATAAAAGATATACATTTATTCATTAATTTAATATTTATACACGTCTTTACCAAATATACCACTAAGTTTGAGTTCACAAACAGCCTTACCAGGGGTTTGGTCTCCTCCTCATCTTTGTAATAGTAGAGAAGTTCCCCTCTCAGAACGAACCAACGGCTGTGCCAGGTCTTGACAAAACCTCCTTGCTTCCTGAGCCAACCACACCGGATCATGTTTGACCTCTGACCTTCAGTGCTGGACTGACCTGCAGTGCCCTGAGAACTGCTGTGTTGGAACAGACTCTGATCGTCCATTGCAGCAGCTCCAATCTGAAAAATAAAAAGATTTATTACACTTAAAGAAGCAGGAAAAAAAAGCATTTTTAATTTGCTTGTTGATGGTGAACCTTTGTGAAAGTCTTTTCTTATGTGTTTCCATTTTATGGCTTGACCAGAGCGTATTCAGTGTTGTGAGGAGAATAAGGTAGAAATGAAAAGATAGGAGCAGAAAAGCTAAGAACAGATCAAACCTCTCTTTAATCTTTTTTTCCATGTACTGCTATGAATACATTATCAAGCCTGCAAGGTGTGATCATTTAGGCGATTTGTTTATCTCCAAGGATCTTAGAAATCTTCAAGAAATCTATAAAACTTTAATTGAAAAACTATTTCTTAAAGTAATAAAGGAAAACTGATTTATGCATGATGGTACAACTAAAAAGCTCAGGTCAATCAATCATGACTCTTTCTTTATATCTCCACGTCTAAAAGGGATACTACTGGAAACACTGCAAAAAATGGAAATCTTAATAAGTCATTTTTTTCTTGAATTAAGTGTATTTTTCTTGAATTGAGGAGGTAAGTGAGACACTTTGCCGATGGAACAAGACAAATAAAATACTTTTTTTTTTACATTTATTTCAATTGCATATCATATAATTATCTTGTTTAAATAGTAAAAATGCTGATTCGATTAGAAGATACTCGTATTTACCTACTCAAATTAAGGGTAAATACTGTGAACTTGATTTAAGAAATTTTGACTTATTTCTATCTTGTTTTGCAGTGCAAAAGTTGAAATGTGCGCATTTTGTTCTTTTTATGTCATTTTGGTAAACCTAGGCAGTCTGCTTCCCAAACAAAAACTAAATCTTTCAGCTCTAAAAACTGAAAAAAAAAAATAAACTGAAAGAAAAACTGACTATAGCACAGCATTTAATTCTAACCTGGCATGTTACTTTTACATTTTCTCACATTGAATAGATGGAAATGTATAATTTCTGCTTCGTAAGTAAAAAAATGTTGCAAGATGAGTATATGGAGACAACTTTGGTTCTTGTCTTAACTGAAACACAATACATTAAAGTAATCTACTTGGAAACAGTTAAAGCTTTCACATGTCCACTCTTAAAATATGTTTGCAGTCCAATTCACAAACAGTATGGAGTTTTTAAACAGACCTTCTGCACATCTTGTTTTCATATCAACACACATTGGTCTGATTTAGTCCGTGACATGCTGATTTAGCCACCGTCAGCTCTGAGAATTGCCATGTTGTCAGTGGCAATCATTGTGCTTGGATTGGTGGACATCCAAGCAGCCCCCAGGTCCAGATGAGGACCAGATGCAGCTCAGCAATATTCCAGACAGTAGTGGATCAGCTGCAACAGGGCTGCTGTGTTGCTGTAATAACCCTCTGGGGTAATGGACAGAGTCATTGTACAGGGACTTGCAAAAGCATATAATTTTTTCAGGGGTTTTCACATTGCAACCACAAAGGGCCTAATCTTCAGAAAGTTTCACTGTTATAAAACAGGTATAGAGCAGATCTTCAGAGCAGGTGCAAGGTGATCCGCGTTCGCGATACCGCATACAGCTTGCAACTTTTTTTGTGTGTGTGTTTGCTTTCATCAATATGCAGATCAAATTCTAATGACCAAACCTTGCAATTTCATGGGTGAATGATATGCAAATGTCAACATTTACCATGTGTAAAAAGGTTATCAAATCAGAAACTAAATTGTGGCCACAGTTTTTGTTTTTTTATTACTACTGAAAATAAGGTCAAAACTGAAACGGAAAAATATCTGCGGTGATTGTTGCCACAAGAGAGGCATTGGTAAAATGCCAGAGGATTCAGATATTCTCTCTGTGCTTGTAAACATATTAGGACCATCAAGAATAATCGAATAATATTACTAAAGCAAATAACGTCTGCAAAGGGTGTCACAGGGTATTGCAGTGGAGCAGCAGACAGTCTTTATAAAACCACTCCATAGTAGTTTGTATGTCAAAAATGTTCTTCTGTTGGAAGTTAAGCCCATATCTCACTCTTAAGAATTTTGCAGCCTTTCACATGATTTTCTGTATTTAGCTCCATCCAGCTTCCCATCAGCCTTAACCACAAGCTTTGCAGGTGTAGAATGCAAAAATGACAACATATTTTCACACCTGAGTTGTGGGTCTCTCTCTGCATCTACTTAAATACTTTTTAAGTTGGACTTAAAGCTGGGTAGGATCTAACTTTAAAAGGTCCAAAAAAAAAAAAACTTTCTTGCTTGACTGTACCCAACATAAACGTGGTAGATTGATCTGTTTTCACCACCTTGATCCTGATATACAAAATTCCAGATAAAAAGATAAATAAATCACAGCATTTAGATGATTCATGTTTATATTTTTGGTGTAGATGAGATATAGGATTTAAAGAGTGGTCACCTTTCCATTACCTCCAGTTTTCTGCACAGGGCTTTATAACAGCACTGCTGGGACTGATCTCTGTTGTAGAATGAATTGAAACTATAAATAACTCCAGCCTCTCTTAGTGTAAATCATTTTGAGGTGGTCAAAAGTAGAAACATTAGCTAAAATTTATATCACACTGAGGTGCTGTCTATAGGTAATACATTCTCATAAATTTGGTGCAGACATCTTGGGAGGATGAAATACACCAACAATGGAATGAATGAGAAAATAAAGTTTATTTTTGGTTTTCATGATCAACAAGATAAAACAATTATTTGTGAGTTCAATATTTTAATACTGTTGCTGTAAACAAAGGAATCAGATGGGTTTCATGTGACAAATGAGATATTAGTTTCTAATAACAGCAGAAAAAAGCCTTACAAAGCATGAGGAACTCAAGGATGGCTAAAATAGACATTGTAAAATTGTGTGGAAAACGGGGTCATTAGGGTCATTGTTGGCCTGGGTGACCAGGGGAGATGTTTTGGTCAGCCAGGCCAACAATGACCCTAATGACTCCCTTTTCAGAGGTATAGGCCATTATCGGGTATTGCAGGCCAACAACGATCTCAATGACCCCCCCCCCTTACTGAGGGGTAGACCTGTTCTTTTGGTTCAATTTGGATGTTTTCTAAGCCATAACAAGGCTTTGCTGGGCTATTCTATAAAGCTTGGAACTCAAGGCTTATCCAGACATTTTGAATTGAAAAAGCTTCCTGCATGGGGAGCGAAATGTCTTCAAACATGGAAAAAAAAATCCAGTGGTTTGTTTTTTAACTTTTTTTTTTTAGAATAACTATGACCTGGATGACTGAGGATCTTCACCAGAAGAATTTAAAATCCTCCTTCTCCCATATTAAGCATTAAATGGCCAAGCGCCATCAGAGATATGATTGTTTCTTATGTTCCAAACAGAGCACTTCACTCTCAATCTGCAGGTTTAGCAGTGGTTCCCAGAATTTCTACAAAAAAATTATTTTAAGTCTTGGACAATAACCTTCACATTTTTAGTATATGTGAAATGTTGGCTCAAAAAGTTAGCTGGTCAATAACTCACATTAGCTTTTATATAAGCTATTCTTTCTTATAAAGCCCTCTCTACTGAGCATTCTAAAGATGCCAGGTGTAGCTTTGAGCATTTTTATGAAGCAACTGCGAAAAATAAAACTGCCTAACTGTTGTGTCCACTCAGCACATTGTATTCTGGGTCCCTATGTAACACCTGTGTCTAACTTAAATGTTGGTAAAGCAGAAATAGGATACCTGCAAAAGGAAATCTGTATAAAATGGCTCTTCTCCTGTTGTTATAAATACAGTTTCTCTCAGTGCCTTTTGTGTATTCCTCATATCACTTTTTAAATTTGCACAACGGTTAAGGCAGTTTTCAAAATAATTTGTTCTAGTTAATGACCTGCAAAAGCATGTCAATTGCTCAAAGCGAATAGTTAATTCCTCAGAAGTACTCATGTCAGTTATGAACAGGATAGTCAAAAGGATTTGTTATGTTTTTATTATGACTGTTTACTCAAAATAATTTCCAAAGCAAATACATTTGAACTTGGTGACACTGCCTGTAAAATGCTAAAGTGAGCACTATATGGTATTGCACATAAAAAAAAAATAATGTGGAAAATGTTAATGAATAGGACTGTATCAGAATGAAAGGGATAGATTGTAGCATTGTAACTCTTTAACTCATGTTCTTATAAAATTGTCTGGTCTTTTCAGGGCTTTACAGTAAGATAATTTGCAAGTCCCAACAATTCCCCAACATCTGCAAACATAAATGCAAATGAAATACAAATAAATGCAAATATCAAGCAGACTAATAAGTTAAATCCTACCATCACCCCGACCATGCATGCACCTCCAGTACAGCCTATATCATCAACAAATGTCATACAACTTCAGAAGGAGTAAAATAGGTAAAAAAAATCTCTGTCCTTCATTCAAAAGGAGAAAAGTTATTCCAAAAGCTAAAGCCATGGTTGCCAAGTTTTATGTTGGGATCCCACTAGGATTTCAATCAACAGGTACGTGGTCTTGTAATTCTACTCAGAAATTATACAGTAACTGAAATAAGGAAGGTAGATCATATTTATCCAATATATGTACTGTAAGCAGAGGTGAAAGAAAGTAAAGCAATACATTTTGGGTGAAGTCATTTCTTGTTTGTCTTTGGAGACATCCTCCATACTTCTTAACCCAGCTTGGTATTTATTATGAGTGAACACTTGCAAACACACCAATAGATCCCATCTTTGACTAGTTCTTTCCTCCATAGCTACTTTATTAAGAAGCGTCCTGTGACATCTTGAGTAGAAGCATGCTCCAGGATGTTCTCACAGCACGCCTCTGAACTTTCACAATTCCGAGAAGTCTGTGGGAAGAGCCACTCTGACCCTCTCTGTAAACAACAACAGCTCAGTATACAGCAGAGACTGGCGCGTCCATAAACACTGAGCACCCGGGAGAACAGCACAAAGATAGCTGCAAATCAGACCTCTGGGGTTTTGCGGCATGTAATTTCTTACAAGGGTGCACCATAGTTAGTGGCTCTGCGGTAGTCATATTAAAATTGGATA